CCCCTGCCCCTCCCCAACTTCCTGAGGTAAAACCAAAAATATCTGTTTGGGTGTGTTGCCGATTTTGCATCTTGAAATTTGAAGGCTGTAATTGTATTCATCATAGTGTACTGGTTCAGATGGACGAATTGTGACATTGGCTTTATTTTATTTTTTTTTACTTTCTTTTCCTCAGAATCTGTCTTCAAGTGAACCTGCAGCCAGGCTGTGGACATTAAAGTATTAACATATTCTTTACAAACAGAAAATTAGTACACAGTGTTTCCACAGTGCTGCGGGGGCTGTGGAGCAATTATTTCTTAAAGTGCACAAAAGAGACTGGGAAGTCAGGTTGCAGTCTCTTTCTGAGCATCTTAGAGCACCTTATGTTTGCTTATATTAGAAGGCTGGCAGGCTGCCAAGTTCCTGCAGCCCGATGAAGCAAGGGAGAATTAACCTATTTTAATGTCTCTGCTCTGAAATTTGAGGATGTATATCTCCACAGTGCCTGCAACTACAGAGGTCAGTAAGGACTTGTTTTAAAGCTCACTTACTGCTTCTGCGAAATACATAAATATTTCAATGCCCTCAGCCGGGCCACAGGTTCACTTTAAGGTACCCATAGACATGATATAGTAATTTTTTTGGATGCTTCCCAAATGCAAAAAGATCTGTTTTTCATCTTATTTATTCTGGCAGTCATATCCTGTGAGCATTTGATTATCTCTTCATGAGCGATGGAGATCTGGCCAAAATTGCCAATACAGTCAGTACTCTTTTTCTTAGAAGGTCATGTCCCAAAACTTTTCTCAGCCCCAGACTTTACCCAAACCTGTTGAAAATAAAAAGGGTCATTTAATCTGTATCTAATGTCTATGTGTACCTTTATAACTCTTGACTCTCCAGCTGGCGTGGAGTTACACTTTCCAGAATGTCTTGCAAACTAGATTTTGTAGTTCCATAAGAGTTGCGTTGCTCCCAAATGAGTCCTTCCAAAAATGAACAATGAATTCAACTATAAACATGCAATTTATGTGCATGGGCTGTAAATTGTTATATATAAAAATATACTTACATGTAAGTTTTTGCTCATGTACACAAATGTTAACATGTTAGCATATTTATACATGTGTTTAGATGGATATACACATCATTGAGCACATCTATAGACAGTATGGAGGATTTTATTTTATAAATAGCAGGTCATGAAAATATTATCCTTATACGTTAACCCCCTCTAATTCAAATTGGGTAAATAAATGTACCTTTGGGCAAAAAAAAAATGTAATTGCCTTTTAATTCATGTTATCGTCTTTCCATGAGGTAGATAGAATATCTTTTTTTTTTTTAACTATAAAGCTGTTTATCAAAGTAATTTTAGATGGTTGTGAACCAGCAAAACAAAAAAGTATATAAAATATATATATATACATATATATATATAAATATAAAATACCATCTACAGTATCATCATGTCATAAATGAAAGTCAATTGATGTATTGAAAATGCAGTGTAATATGTTATTTTCTGAAAAAAAACAAAAATAAATCCCAAGATGCATTTTTTCTTTCTAATTTTTATAGGGAGAACAAGACCGTATATAAGATTTGTACATAAATATCATTATGCAGTATTTATTTTAAAGATGAAAAAATTGATGTATTTTTTTTTTATTTCACATAATGTCTGCAGCTGAGCTCATGGTATAGTCATGTTACTCGCACTATACCTGGGTCCTTTGCAGTCTTGTACATAGTACATTTAAAAAAAAAAAAGAAAAAAAAAGCAAGAGAAATTTACAGTTGGGTAATATGGCAGATTAGCCCTGCAATGAGCTCCAACTAATGTAAAGCATATTAATTACGGTGGTGGTATTTAAGACTTTCAATAAAACATTTTCTTTACAGATTTGGAATATGATGTATTTTTTCCCTGCAGTCATGGTTTTTATCCTAGAGTGATATCAGTGGCGTGATTGTTAATGCAATGTGAGAAGAAAAGGGGGAGTGTCTTGAGAAAAATAACGGAACATTGTATACTTACCTATCAGTAATTTTTCCTTTCCTGGCGCCAATACATGGCAGCATACAATGGGGGCGGAGCCATTCCCATTATATGCTGCCATGTAGGTGTCAGGAAATCGGAAAATTGTATTCTTACCTATCGGTAATTTTCCTTTCCTGACGCCAATACATGGCAGCATACAATGGGGGCATACCCATACCCATTGTATGCTGCCATATAGGTGTCAGGAAATGCCATTGGTGACGTTCATGCCATTTGGCACTCTGTCATGCTAACCCCCTAGCTTTAGAATTTCTACCAAACTAGTGCTAACTTAAGCTGGGTTCACACGGATGGGTTCACACTGCAGGTAGAACGAAAATAATATCACAGATTCCTCCATCCACATGTGGATGAACGATTCTGCTGCTGTGAATGCCGCTGTCAGAATATCTGAATGGTGCCTGTAACTTATTGGCTACAACCACCATTTGAATAATAATTTTCCAACGTGTTCCTTCTGCAAAAAGTTGATCTAATGATCAACTTCTGTTGAGGGGATATGGTCTCCAACTAATCAAATTTTGCCCTATTCCTGCTGAGTTGGCTGAAATTCGCTCTGCGTGTACCCACCCTAACTCACTAACCTGGAAGAAGTATGAAACTTTACTTGCTGCCCACTTGTTCTTGGTCTGTGACTTAAGAAGTACGGACTCTGAGGATCAACATGTGAATTAGCATTTTCAAAAAAAGCTCCACAGTGGCATCCTCTATATTTCTCTCATTCAGCCCGATTGAACCACCTGCTAAATATATTCCATATGCATCAAAACAAAAGGTGTGCAAAGTCTTACACTTATTTTCTTAGAAAGCAGCCAAAACTTGAATAGAAGAGACTGTCCCTTGCCAGCATGCTGAAGAATGGGACATTTGCTATCTGTGTGGAAGCAGTGGTCCTTCTGCAGAGGTCTGAAATGCCCCCTTTTGAGTCAAAGCTAGAGCTCTCCAATCAGCAGGTGGCAGGAGCTTTTGTGATTGAGGTGTGATTCAGCAGGGGACCTGTTGGATCTTTGTAGAGTGGTCACAGCTTCCACACAGAGATCAAGGGACCATCTATGATACTAGAAAGATATGTTGTGTTACCACAGAGTGCTGCATATTACCAGGGACAAGGTCATGTTACCAGAAAAACTACCTTAAGAGCTGCACCTACACAAACATTGCTATGAGAGCTGAACCTTATCAGTCATGTCACATAAGAGACCGGCGCTAGAACTGAAATGAGAGTTGCTGTGAGAGTTGTACAATAAAATGGACTTCTTTGAAAGCTGCACTTTTCTACAGAGCCTGCCATGTTATTGGAGAGAATACCATGAGATCCATGTATTGCCACAGAGACAGATATGAGGACTTCATACTACAAAATGACTGATGTGAGAGCTAAATATTACCAGGACTCCAATACAAGCATTATTTTTCCATGTACATGCTTCAAGAGTTCAGGTGTCATAGCGGAATTGTTTTAGCTCTGTCCAGTGCAGTAATACATCTTTTGACTTAATGCAGGGCACCTCAGGACGCTTCTTGGGAGGCCATCCTCCTACGGTAGGTGTAGTGTTACCAGCAAATCTGGGACTCAAGTAACGAGCACTTGGAAAAACCACAGAGACGTCTCAGAATGCTACCTTTCAGAGTTTGAAGGGTGGTTGGTCAAAATGCTGCTCTGTGTGCTCATCTGGAAGCAGTAAATGGCACACTGGTCAGAGGTATTGACATTCTACTATGCCACCAACATTATTTCTGCCCCCCTTTTCCCAAGTGCCCATGAGAAATTCTGATTTTTATCATATGCAATGAGCCAGTTGTTATACAAATTATTATGAGTTTAGCATCAAACTAAAATTCAGTAC